AGACTAGCCAGGCCAACATGGCGAAACCCCATCTCTACTGAAAATACAAAATATTATCAGGATGCGGTGCTGGTGTGTGCTCATAATTCCAGCTACTCGGAAGGCCGAGGTGAGAGAATTGCTTGAACCCAGGAGGTGGAGGTTGCAATGAGCTGAGATTGCGCCATTGCACTGCAGTGAGCCGAGATTGTACCCCTGCACTCCAGCCTGGGCAACTGAGCGAGACTCTGCCAAAAAAAAAAAAAAAAAAAAAAAAAATTAACGGATAGTATTGTTGAGAGCGTGGGCCAGGTACATGATGTCGCTGAGATGAAACTGTCCAGATACCCACACCCTGGCTGTGTCCACTGAGCCAGGCCGTCGATGGCATGCACACTGCGGCTGACTGCGTCCCGTGGTTTAAGTGTGTCGTGAGCCGAATCGGACCCTCCTCATTTTTACAAATGGAAGCCCGCAGGACCTTCGATTGCAACTCTGTTTGCAGACAGGGTCTTTAAAGAGGCAATTCAGGTAAAATGAGGTCACCAGGTGGAGCCCTGATCTAGCTGCACTATGGACCTTACAAAAAGATGAGATGAGGACACAGACATGCAGACAGGGATGACCTCGTGGGGACTCAGGGAGAAGACAGCATCCACAAGCCAAGGACAGAGGCCTCAGGAGGAGCCAGCCGGCCCACACCTTGATGTCGCCCTTCCAGCCTCCAGGCTTGTGACAGAATCAGTGTCTGCTGCTTACGCTGCCTGGCCTGTGGGACTTTGCTACCGCAGCCCCAGCAGACAAACACATTCCTATTCCAATGAATGAGTTATCTCTGTTAAGGGCTGAGTTGTGCACCTCCGAAATTTATATATTGAAAGCCTAATCCCCAGGACCTCGGAACGTGCCTGTGTTTAGAGAGAGGGTCTCCACAGGTGAGAAGGGCACAATGAGGTCTTTATAAAAAGAGGAGAGGAGGACACAGACACACACTGAAGGACGACCCTGTAAAGACGCAGGGAGAAGACGTGGCTACAAGCAAGAAGAGGCCTCAGCAGGAAGCACCCTGCCCACACCTGGATCTCAGACCGCCAGCCTCCAGGACTGTGGGAGAATCAAGGCTGTTTAAGCTGCCTGCCCAGTCTGTGGGATTTTATCGTAGCAACTCTGGGAAGCCATTGCCAAGCCTCTGTCCTGCAAAGTGAGATATATGGATCTGCAGCCTCAGCATCCCCCAGGAGCTGATGAGAAGCACTGTGTCCTCGGCCTAGCCAGACCTGCTGAAGCATAGTCCGCGTGTCACCCAGGTCCTGAGGGACCATGTGCACACACCACTTGGGGGAGACTGGGTGGTCTGTGTAGACTCCTCTTGGCCTCTCAGAGCAGTGCTCCTTCCTTCTGGGTGTGGGGGGCGGGACCCTTTCTGGGATGGGGGTCTTAGGACGCCCAAACCTGGCAGGTCGGGGAACTTCCCTGTGGCCAGTCTTGATGCAGATAGGATGGAGGGAAACTTAGAGTCCTGTTTTTAGGTTTTGTGGCTGGCTTTGGGGGAGGGACATTCTTGTTTCTAGGACCCGCCTGGGGGAAGAGAGATTCTAGTTCCTACAGTGCCTCAGGGGAGACTGGGACTCAGACACAGGAGGGCTGGAAAAGCTCTGGGAGGAACTTCTGCTGCTGAGCCTGCTCTTGGGGTTTGGTTTCCTGAGCCCGAACAACTTGTAGGTCTGAATCCACGTAAAGAATGCGGGCAGCGGGCGAAGTCCAGAAAGAAGCATCTTTGCATCCGGCAGGGGTGGAATCTGAACCCAGGAGGGGTTTGGTGCCTGCGGGCTACAGAAGAAGCCCTGCAAGCCGACATCTCAGGGTTTGGCTCTGAAGGGTCCCAAGGGCAGCTTTACTGGGGGCTTCCCTGTCACGCGCGGCCTTCCCACCCACCTACAGGAGCCATTTAGTCGACATCTCCAGGATGCCAGCAACCGAGGACCAATGTCATAGGCCCAGCACAAAATGAGGTTGAGGATCCCAGAACACGAGGATTTGATTAAAAGCCGCTGAGTTCACTAAAGCAAATCAGAGAAGCAAATTGGAAACACATCTCCTGTTCCTGCCCTGCCTTATGTTCCTAGTGGAAAATGAACCCTGGGAAAGCAAAAGCATCACGTGCATCTCCTGACCTTGGAGCCAGACACCCCAGAGTCAGCATGGTCTACCTGGGACATCTCCCAGCCCATGAGGACCCCAGCCGTGGCTTTGCTGCAACCTGCCTGGAGGGGAGAAAGGACAGGGGGCCCTGCCTGTGAGATAGATTTCCTGCCTGGCGGGCAGGACTGGAGACTGTCTCAGTGCCCAGGCCGCCTGACGCTGCCAGAGTCCGCCTGATTTATGTAACGAGGTCTGGGTGTGACCGACAGCGGCCTCGTGTGTGTGAGTCACACATGCAGCAACTTCTGGCTGCAGTGCAACCCCTGAAACCTAGCAAAGCCCCAAACCACCCTCCTCCACTTCCTCTGTGACACTCCACCCCCCTCCCCCAATTCCTGCCACCACCCAGGGCCGTCAGGAGCATGTCAAAGCTGAAGGAGCCTCCTCTGCAACCTGGCCCCCTGCTGCAGGGTGAACAGAGCTGCCACCTGCCTGGTTTATGCAACCGCATTTCAGAGAGGAGGCGCTGGGAGGGGAGAGAGAACACCGAGGCACCTTTGGTTATTTAGGGAAATAGGGAGGGGCCGGGTGCACAGACTGGAGGAGATTGTAAAGTGGCTGCCTAGCGGATGCCTGGAGTTGCTGGGTTGGGCTGAGATACAACACAGTGAAAGATATTGGGCAACAGTGAACAGGGACTGGAGTCTAAATTCTCAGGGTGTGTGCATAGCCGAGATGCTGAACCCTGGGGTCCTAGACAGATGTCTCGACTGGAACTGCTGACAGCCTTGGAGGGGAAATATCTCACAGATCCGAGAGGCTGACATGGCTCCTGTCCTGCAGCCCAGTCTCAGCACCTTGGGCAATGATGACCAAGACAGCTGGAGGAGGCCGGGCACAGTGGCTCATGCCTGTAATCCCAGCACCTTGGAAGGCCGAGGCAGGCAGATCACTTGGGGTCAGGAGTTCAAGACCAGCCTGGCCAACATGGTGAAACCCTGTCTCTACTAAAAATACAAAAGTTTGCTGGGTGTGATGTTGCATGCAGTTGTAATGCCAGCTACTCAGGGGACTGAGGCAGGAGAATTGTTTGAACCCGGGAGGTGGAGGTTGCAGTGGGCCGAGATTGTGCCATTGCACTCTAGCCTGGGTGACAGAGCGAGACTGTTTAAAAATCATACATACAAAAAAAAAAAAATACGGAGAGAGCTGGAGGGAGCAAAGAAGAGCCGGGTTGTTCTTACAGGTGAGCCTATAGCGATCACTGGCAGCAGAGAACGTCATCTGAGAGGGACATGTGGGCTCCTCAAGTTGGAAGGAAACTGCTGTGTAGGACCAGGGGCAGCTGCTGTGTGCATTCCTGCTTGGGGATACACCTTCTGCTCCGGAGAGGCCCTCATTACCTCCACAAGGAGCCACAAAGCCTGCCCTGGTGGCATCTCGCTGGAGCCATGCCACAGGCTGTACAAATCTATGTTGTAGTCCTTGAACCTTCCTCCAGAGCAAGCAACACCCAGGCAGACAGATTTCTGGGAGGGAGACAGGCATCAGAGGTGGGGGAGACCCAGCACCGATGGCTTACCTGCTTCCCCCAGGCGTAGGCTCCTCCAGGGCTTAGTGTTTGAGCAAGAGGCTGTTCCCCCGGACAATTCTGCAAATTCTGACTGTGCTCCTGCCTTGCCCTAAACCTCCCAGAAGCTCAGGTTCTTCCTTTGGGAAATGTGCATGCTGGTGAAAACAACATCCTCGGGTGGGCGGATGAGCTGCTTGGACGCCTGGCATTACTGCAACAGAACTCAGTGCATAGGAAGCGCTGATTCAATGCCCTCCCGCCTGCATCCTCTACCTCCTGATAAGTTCTCTGGTGGTGTTTTCTCTGCAGGGGTAGTACTGGCAGGGGGCAAGGGGGAACAAAAGGCAAGGTGTGCATATATGTCAGCAGGAGGGACCCTTCATCCTCACGAATTCTGCAGTGTGTTTTCAATGATGAGTCACAAAGATGGGAATGTTCTCATCTCTGCTGCAGACACATTCATTAGGTTAACTGCTTTTGGATCAGGTGGGAACCTCAGCTTGTGCACACAGGTTGCTTCCCGACCCTGGACCCTGTATTTGTCAGTGTAGGCTGGCTGCTGTAACAAACAGCCCCCAAAGAATTAAAAGTTTACCTCTTGTTTGTGTTGCAGCCAGGTGAGGTGGCAAAGGTGTCCTCCGTTCCATACAGTCTCTCAAGGATCCAGGATCCTCATGTTGTTCTGCTTCACCTTTTTCTAGGGCAACCCCTCTCAACCTAGATTCTCTCTTTGTGTGTGTGAGAGAGAGAATGTGTGTGTGTGTGTGTGTGTGTGTGTGTGTGTTTATGTATGGGGGAAATGCCAGTCCTAAGCTGTGAGTGGAACGGTCCAGGAGAGAAGTCTATGTACTCGGAGAGAGGCTTCCTTCAAAGTTCCCTGGCCATGAGCAGGAATAAAATACTGGCACGGATTGCAATGTGGATGCAACTGAAAAGCCTCATGCTCAGTGAAAGAAGCCAGCCACAAAATACCACATATTGTAGAATTCTATTTATACGAAATTTGCAGAACAGGCAATTCATGGAACAGGCAATCCAACAGAAGGTGGATTAGTTGTTGTCAGGGGCTGGGGAGGCAGCAGGGGAAGTGACTGCTGAATGGGAACAGGGGTCTTCCTTTGGGTGAGAAGTATGTTCTGGGAGTAGGTAGAGGTGGTGGTTGCATCTCCCACGTAGCTCATGGTTAGTTGTATCTCTCTGGCAACCCTGGGCTTGCAGGAGGAGGAAAGCAGTGTGAGGTGAGGAACGAGGGGGATTCTGGCCTTTCCATCATGGTGTGGACTTACGCCCTGTTTGCTCCCAATAGGTCAGAGAGACTTTGACTTGGCAGACGCCCTTGATGACCCTGGTAAGTGCCAATATTTCAAGGGGAGCCTTCTCTTTTCAGCTTGGGTCTAATAGTGTCAGCTGCATGGTTACTTTGGAGTTGGGTTGGGCCGGTGTTTGGAATTTCTTGGTGTTGAGATCTTTTTTCTTTATAGGAGATTGCAGGTGCCTTGAGACAAACTTTTACACACTCTCTAAAAGTCTCAGTCTCGTTTCTTGATAGGTCTGTGCTTCTGAAGCCTGTAGTTTAGAAGTATACTAGTATTTTATTATTTTATTTTATGTTTTATTTTATTGAGATGGGAGTCTTGCTCTGTTGCCCAGGCTGGAGTGCTGTGGTGCAATCATAGCTTACCACACAGCCTTGACTTCCTGGCTCAAACAATCCTCCCACCTCAGCCTCCCAAGTAGCTGGAACTACAGGTGTGTGCTCCCATGCCCAGCTAATTTTTTTTGATTTTTTGTAGAGATGGAATCTCACTATGTTGCCCAGGCTGGCCTCAAACTCCTGGGCTCAAGCAATCCTTCCACCTTGGTCTCTCAAAATGCTGGGATTACAGAGACACACTAGCATGCCCGGCTCAGTTACTGCTTTTCCTACACTTAAGTTCATATCCGTCATTGTCCCACATCCTGATCTGAATTTATGGCCCCCAATCTCCCCTGCCAGAGCATACTTCTTCTCCATTCTCCTATCATTTTCTCTGCTCACCTTCACTCACAGAGCTGCCAGTGAAGGTGAGCACTCCCGACCTGATGTCCACATCCACACGATACATGTTTGCTGAATGAATAAATTCGTGAATGAAAGAAAGTGAGAAAAGCCATCATTCTAGAAGCTGCAAGGCTTTCCCCATCTTTTCTTTTGCCTCCCTCCCCGCCCGGCCTACTGTCCGGCTCTGTGGTGGCTCTAGAGACGGGGGCTCACTCCCTTGTCTTGGATGCTCTCAGCTACTGTGGCCATCCTGTGGGCAACCTTACAGCCTTGAGGGCAGATTGTTTTTGAATAGATTTTAAGGGTATTTCCTTGCTTTTTTCCCCAAATATACCATGGAATTTGTGTCCATATCATTTACTTTGTATTGCTTTGTCACTTTTTATATTTCATCAGGGTGTTAATGGCCTTTTTTTTTTTTTTTTTTTTGAGTTGGAGTCTCACACTGTCACCCAGGCTGGAGTGCAGTGGCGCGATCTTTGCTCACTGAAGCAACCTCCATCTCCCAGGTGCAAGTGATTCTCCTGCATCAGCCTCCCAAGTAGCTGGGACTACAGGCGCCTGACACCATACCCAGCTAATTTTTTGTATTTTTAGTAGAGACAAGGTTTCACTATGTTGGCCAGGCTCGTCTTGAACTCCTGACAGTGTGATCCACCCATTTTGGCCTCCCAAACTGCTGGGATTACAGATGTGAGCCACAGTGCCCAGCCCTTTCTTTGTGCTTCTGATGAATCTTCAATGCATATTGCATTTATTTTCTCTTTGTTCACAGAACCCACCAAGAAGCCAAACTCAGGTGAGTGACTCTTCGGCTGGGAGAAACTGAGGCAACGTCCTTGAACTGATGCTTATGGATGGATGTTTGAGGATGTTTTACAGAATTGTGGGGTGTGTTAAGGAGATGCAAGAACTGTGCCAGATAATAGATATTAAAGGCAAAATGTGGTGATTAGGGAAATGCAAATCACAACCACATTAAAGCAGCACTGGGATGGCTAAAATCTAAAATTGAAAATAACAAGTGTTGACAAGGATGTGAGGAAACTGGAATGCTTGTTTATTGCTGGTGGGAGTCTAAAATGGTACAGCCACTGTGAACAAATACTTTTGTGGATCCTTAAAAAGTTAAATACAGAATTATCCTATGAACCAGCAATTCCACTCCTAGGTGTATACTCAAAATAATTGAAAACAGGTGTTCTAAGAACAACTTGTACACAAATGTTCACAGCAGCACTATTCATTATAGCTAAAAGGCAGAAATAACTCACATGTTCATCAGTGGAAGGAGTGGATAAACAAAATGTGGTCCACCCACACAATGGAGTATTATTTAGCCCTGAAGAGGAATGAAGCACTGATAATTGCTACAAAGTGGTTCAACCTCAGAAACATTTTGTAAAGAGAAAGAAACCAGACACACGTAAGATCACATAGTGTATATTTTTATGAATATGAAATTTCAAGAATAGGCGAATCCCTAGGACCCGAGGCAGTGTTGTGACCGCCAGTAGCTGGAGGGGAAAGGGAGAGTGACAGCTTGATGAACTCCAGGTCTCCTTTCAGGGGAATGAAATGTTCTGGAAGTACACAGAGATGATGGTTGCACAACGTTACGAATGTTCTAAATGCCCCGAAGTGTTCACTTTTAGATGGTTAATTTATGTGTAAATCTCACCTCATTTTATTTATTTATTTTTCAATTAAAAAGGTAACTTTTGGTCCAGGGCAGTGGCTTAGGCCTGTAATCCTAGCACTTTGGGAGGCCAAGGTGGCGGATTACCTGAGGTCAGAAATTCAAGATCAACCTGGCCAACGTGGCAAAACCCCATCTCTAATTAAATATACAAAAATTAGCCAGGCATGATGGCATGTGCCTATAGTCTCAGCTACTCAGGAAGCTGAGGCTGGAGAATCACTTGAACACAGGAGGTGGAGGTTGCAGTGAACCAAGATCATGCCAGTGCACTCCAGCCTGAGTGACAGAGCGAGATCCTGTCTCAAAAGAAAAAAAAAAAATGAAAGCCGCAGCTCAGAGACAGAAACTGAGCAATGCATAGGTTCAGAAGGGCTGGAAACAGAGCGACTAAATTGTGTCTTGGCATTTGAGAGAGGTTGCAGCTATAAAACAATGGAAGAAGAAAGCAGATTCTACACAGGCGGGATTGAGCCAACTGGCTCTTCTTGTGGATGATATGTGATCAACCGGCAACCTCATGCAATCCTTTCGACCAGGCTGGAGCGCAGTGGTGCGATCTTGTCTCACCGCAACCTTCTCCTCCCGGGTTCAAGCAACTCTTGTGCCTCAGCTGGGACTACAGGCACACGCCATCACGCCCGGCTAATTTTTGTATTTTTAGTAGAGATGGGGTTTCAACAAGTTGGCCAGGCTGGTCTCAAACTCCTAACCTCAGGTGACCTGCTCGCCTCGGCCTCCCAAAGTGCTGGGATTACAGGTGTGAACCACCGCGTCTGGCCTCATGCAATACTTAGAAATAAACTGCAGGTGGATTACAAACCTGAATGTAAAAGAAAACAATTGTTTTTGAAAAATAGAGGGAAATGTCTTATAATCTCAGGGTTAGGAGGTTTTTCTTAGATAAGATAAAAAAAAAAAAAGCATAACCTCACCTGTAGTCCCAGCTACTCAGGAGGCTGAGGCATGAGAATCACTTGAGCTCAGGAGGTGGAGTTTGCAGTGAGTGGAGATCGGGCCATTGGATCTACAGATGCGGAAATTCTGGTTAGAGAGCACAATTGTGCATACATCGCTCCTCCCCCAAAACAGAAGGATAGCAAAAAATAAAGAAAGAAAGAAAAGAAACGAAAAGAAAATGGAGGAGAGCGACTATGAGGCAACTGAGAGGGATATGATGATTCCATTTGCTGCAAAGAAAAATTCAAAGAAGATGGAATCACACAGTTGACCAAAATGGATGAAACGTGTCTACTGGGCTGGGCAGCGGCGGAGCCCTGGGAGCCGAGAGATGGGGATGGTGCTGGTTTCAGACAAGATAGTTGCGCAGGAACTTGAAAGAGAAAGGGGAATGGGTTGTGGGGACCTGGGGAGCTGGACTTCTGCCTGGGGAATCAGCCAGTGCCAATGGGTGAACGGTGGGGGTGGGGGGCAGGTGTGGGGTCCAGCCCTACGGGGCTCTGTGAGCCCCTCCCTGCTGGTTCGAAGAGGAGAAATTGTAGAAATAAAAGGCACAAGACATGGAGATTGAGAAAAGAGAGTTTGGGCCCAGGGGTCCACAGCTACCCAGATCGTGGAGACCAGCAGTGGCCCCAAATGCCCGGACGCCCTGACTTTTATTGAGTTGCAAATCTGGGGGCAGGGAAGGTAGGGTGTAGGTAGGGCGTGGTCTTGGTGGTGGGTGACTGGGGACAAGGTAAAATAGGGTGTGGCATACAGGTGAGGGCTCAGGAATTTCTGGCACCCCAAGTGAGGTAAGGAGCATAATGCATCAGCACCTTTTCTATACTTATCATGAAAGAACTAAAACATTAAGATCTATGTTACTATTACTGATTATCTTTTCTAAGAAAAAAGGAACCAGGTGCAGAAGCAGAACTTGAAAGTAGCCAGGGAACGTGACCACTGAAGCACAGCACCACACAGAGACAGTTAAGTCCCCGGGTGTCCACGGTCAGGCTTACCACGAGAGCTTGGAGAAGCAGAGTTTTCTCCTCACTCCCCTGAGGAAGGAGACGTCTTGGCCATCTTGGACATCTCCTTCCCGAGCTGGCTGAACAGCAGGTGCTTTCACAGCGCTGACACTGTCGCACAGCCGAGGCGCCCTCCAGCAGCCCTTATGCGGGCGTGACAGAGGACTTAGAGCTTAGAGCACCTTAGGGTCATTCATTTCACGATGTCACCCCAGGTTCACACTTCCGACCTGAGAGGCATTAGTAAAAGAATTAAGATCACCTATAAATAAGATCACATATGAATAACTACTAACTACTGTTATAGTTACTTTCTTATTCATTATTTATAGGCTCCGCACTTATGGGGTCTTTTCCCTACAGGCAGGGGGTTAGGAGCCTGCAGGTAGGTGCTGAGCCTCTCCAGGCGGGACACGTGGATTTGCTCAGAGAGGGTGGTGAGAGGCCTGAGGTTCGGGAGAGAGGGACGCCCAGTCCAGGGGCAAACCTGGTCACGGGCGGACGATAGGCTGGTGCAGGGGCTGACGAGAAGGCCCCGTGGCTGCATCAGTGGCGTCGCGGTCTGGGCATCTGTCCGCCTCTCCGGGCTGGTGGACGGGATGGAAACAAAATGAACAGATTCAACTGGAGGCTCCATGGAAACACGTGTGGGCATTTCTGCTTAGACTCCACATGCGGAAGTGTGGCTGTCTGTGCCTCGACACAGCTTCATGCACATGCGTGCTTAGCCACCTCCATCTGCGTGTACACGGATGTTCGCACATCTATATTTGTGTCTCTATGTGCTTTTAAATCTACATAAACACATTTACATACGCATGTATGGTAAATGGGTTTTTTCATGTGTGAACATACATGCTTTTGTATATATACACTACATAGATACCTGTGTTTTCATATATGTATATTCCTGACTTTATATATATGCTTACATATATCTTTACATATGTACATGTTTTATATGTGTTTATTTTTATGATTATATGCACATATATGCTTTTTATATATTTATGTATCTATATGTATTTCTTTTAATATATCTTTATTTTTTATAAGTTTATGTATATTTTAAAATACATATGCATTTTATGTAATTTTTATATTTTATGTGTGTTATATAAATATATATCTTTACATATATAATTAAACATATGCCTTTATTTATATATATCATTATATGTGTACATATATACCTTTATTTATATATGCTTTTATATATGTATGTATATATTTATATATATACTTTTATACGTGTATATCTTTATATGTTAGTATGTCTTTATGTACACATATACCTTTATGTGCATATACTTTCACATATGTTATATATATACACATAACTTTATATATACATGTGTATATATGTTTATGTAGGTATACAAATGTCTTTCTATATGTATATAAATATCTTTATATATCTATATACAACTTTTATATGTGTATAAATATCTTATATAAGTATATATTTTATATGTGTGTATATGAATATTTTATTCATTTTCTTTTTCTGATATGAAGTCTTGCTCTGTTGCCGAGGCTGGAGTGCAGTGGCCTAATCTCGGCTCGCTGCAACCTCCGCCTCCCGGGTTCAAGTGATTCTCCTGCCTCAGACTTCTGAGTAGCTGGGATGCCAAGCGCCTGCCACTACGCCTGGCTAATTTTTGTATTTTTAGTAGAGATGGAGTTTCACCATGTTGGCCAGGCTGGTCTCGAACACCTGACATTGTGATCCACCCACCTTGGCGTCCCAAAGTGCTGGGATTACAGGCGTGAGCCACTTTGCCCGGTCCCCTATTGTCTTGAAAGTAACAAGACAGGCATGGATTCTGTTTGATGCAGCTGTTATGGGGTGAATTATGTCTCCTGGCAAATTCATACGATGAAGTCCTGACCCCGAGTTTCCTCAGAATGTGACTGTCTTTGGAGGTGGGACCTTCAAGGAGGAGATTAAGATAAAATGTCACTAGGGTGGGTCCTGATCCAAAAGGACTGGTGTCACAGTAAGAGGGGATGAGGACACAGACAAACACAGAGGAAGGACCCTGTGAGGACACAGGGAGAAGACGGCGTCTCCAAGTCCAGGAGAGAGGCCTCAGGAGTAAGCCCAGGAATGAATGCAGTCGGAGG